CTTCACTCTTGAAGATTATTACGAGGGACGGACCGTCTAGATATCTGAACGACCTTCTTTTAGACCTAATAATTTAGTTGCCTGATTTACCTTCTTCTCGCAATGGCCCGAGAACGTCAGCTCATTGTCAACGTACACAAATAGGTCCTTTTAACAACCTCACCAAGTTATCATGCAGAACGAATAAATAAAGAAATACATTTTCACGCAGAGGGTGATTCAGGAACAGTAATGGGCTTCAAAATAGCCCTTGATAAAATTATCAAGACCGATGGAGGGATCCTACACAGGCGACTGGTCTCCTTCCCGAGATATGGCCATCTTTCGTGTAGGGCCATTAGGTAAATAAGGTAAATGTTAATTTTAAGTGTTGTTGAATCATGATAATTGCTGTTGATTCATCATAATTCTTGTTGTTGTTGGATGGTACACACACTAGATGGGTTGAGCTTAATGGCACACACGCATACTGCCGTAGGTGGGCGGTAGTGGATCACACACACACACACACACACACACACACACACACACACACACACACCGGACGAATGGCACTCATGCTCCAGCTGGGTTGTGATGGATGGTGCGCACACACTACGTGGGTGGTGGCTGATGTAACATACTCGTATACCAGTTGGGTTATGATTTTTGCACACACACACACACACACACTAGGTGAATGGTGATGGGCAGCACACACACTAGGTGGGTGGTAATAAGTGGCACACAAACACTAGTTGCATGGAACATAATCACAAACACACACTAAGTAGGTGGTTTTTGGTCACACATACACACACTAGGTGGGTAGTTGTGGGTGGTACATACACGCTATATAAGACGCGACGCGATGGTTGGTATACACATACACTAGGTGGGTGGTGGCACACACTCTAGATGGGCTGTGGTGAGTAGCATACACCAGGTGGGTGGCATGCAGTCAGTAGGTGGGTTGCAGTAGGTGGTTGGTGGTGGGTGGCACACACACACTACACTAGATGGGTGGTGGTGGGTGGCATGCACTAGGTGGGTGGTGGTGGGTGGCATGCACTGGGTGGGTGGTGGTGGGTGGCATGCACTAGGTGGGTGGTGGTGGGTGGCATGCACTGGGTGGGTGGTGGGGGCGGCATCATTGTAAGGCTGGTCACGAGCGAGGCTGGGTGGCGCGCGGCGTCCTCACCACCATGATGGTTGAGAGCCACAGCCATCGGTACCTCTCACACCTGTATAACACACAGTATCTGTCCTCCTCCTCTTCCCGTTGCACTACCTGGTAAGTCATTATCATCAGCGTGATAAGTGTGAGATCGTTGAGTCGTCGTCGGTGATGAGGTAAACGAGAGACAAAGCCTGGTGGCCGCCTCACCTTCCTCCCAACATCAGACAACCTGTTTTCTTCTCTATCGAATGTTTGACTTCACTCAACCTGACGACAACGGAAAAATTTTTTAAAGACAGTATTCTTGATAAATTTTGGTGTGAGTATTGATACACTGGTCCAGGTGTAGCGGTGGTGGGCGTGTGAGGACAAAGTGTTGCGGGTGGCCATTTTGCTGGGTCGGTGTTCTCCACCATGGCGGCTGGTGGCTAGTAACTTATGCACCTGTGACCTGCCCACTTCCTCACGATCTCTTCTGCTGTTTCTCTCAAATTTCTTTTCCACTCTAGCAACTTGACAGGTCCTCCTAGGGCGTGGGCGTGCTAGGTGGGCGTGGATGATAATGGTGGTTGTGTGTGTGTGGAGGGGGGGGAGCTGCGACTGGGGTGATCGTAGCCCTCAGGACCAGGCAAGGCCGCAGACAGGGATGTGAGGGGTCATGCACACCTCCGCCAGGTAGCCGCTCACCGGACACTCACCACCACCTGGTCTACACTTACAATACACCTGTTACACTTCACCGTCTTCCTTGGCACGTGAAGACTGACAATTGTCTGTTACATCAAATGTTTAATGAAGTCTCCCATATTTAGTTTTAAGGTTCTCCATTTTCTGTGTGTTTATTTTACAACCAAGATCAGGTGGTATCAAACTAGCGTCCTGCGTGTTCCTGTTGTTGTGTTACAGTCAGCCATGTTCCGCGTGTGTTGTGAGCTAGTGCGTAGTATTCTATAACCCCTACACAGGTGTAGAACACACACACACACACACACACACACGTGCCTCTACACTCACCCAGACTCGTCCTGGCCCCTGGCACATAATGGTTACCTACACACCTGGTTCTTCCCGGCACTAACACCTCCTCTTGGGGTGTCTTAACACCTCCCGGCTCAACACTTACACCCCACTATCACCACACACACACACACACACACACCTGTTACACCCCACCATCACCACACACACCTGTTACACTCCACCATCACCACACACACCTGTTACACCCCACCATCACACACTGCTACACCACCATCACCACCCACACCTGTTACACCCCCACTATTACCACACACACACCTGATATACCCCACCATCACCACACACACCTGTTACACCACAAACACCAGTTACACCTCACCAACACCACACACACACACACACACACACACACACACCACCCTATCACCACACACAGACACACACACACCTGTTACACCCGACTATCACCACACACAGACACACACTTGTTACACCCTACACCACTACAACATCCCACTACCACATTACACCACCTCTATCACCCACCCCACCACTACCTCTACCACCACCCACCACCACCTCTACCACACCACACACCACCACCTCTACCACCCCACCACCACCTCTACCACACCACCACCACCACCTCTACCACACCACCCCACACTAACCACCACCACCACCACCTCTACCACACCACCCCACCACTACCTCCACCACACCACCACACCACCACACACCACCACACCACCCACCACTACCTACCCACACCACACCACCTCTACCACCCCTACCACCACCTACCACCACCACCACCACCTCTACCACCACCACCTCTACCACCATCCACCACTACCTCTACCACACCCCACCACCACCTCTACCACCATCCCACCACTACCTCTACCACCACCCACCACCACCTCTACCACCAACCACCACCTCCTACCACCACCACCACCTCTACCCACCCCACCACCTTTACCACACCATCCCACCACTACCACACCACCCCACCACCACCTCTACCACTACCTCTGCCACCACCTCTACCACACCACCACCACCTCTACCACATCACCTCTATCACACCACCACCTCTACCACACACCACCCCACCACCTCTACCACACACCACCACCACCACCTCTACCACACCACCACCACCACCTCCACACACACCACACCACACCCCACCTCCTCCCACACCACCCCACCACCACCACCACCACCACCTACCACACCACCACCTCTACTACACCACCACCAACCTCCACCACACCACCACCTCCACACCACCCACCACCTCCACCACACCACCACCTCTACCCACCACACCTCCACACACCCCACCACCTCTACCACACCACCACCTCTACCACACCACCACCTCTACCATACCACCCCACCACCACCTCTACCGCACCACCCCACCATTAACTCTACCACACCATCCCACCATTAACTCTACCACACCACCCCACCATTACCTCTACCACGCCACCCTACCATTACCTCTACCACACCATCCCACCACCACCTCTACCACACCACCCCACCACTACCACACCACCCCACCACTACCATATTAACATCCCACAACCACATCACCTCATCACTACCACAACGTCCCACCATAACCACCACACCCCACCATACCACCACCACCACCACTATTACTACAGTATTCCACCACATCATACTACCACCACCATGATGGGAGGTACTCAGTATAGTTAGCTGGTGGTCTCTGAGACGAGTGTTTGGGTCACCACCTGGTTTAACACTACAGAGATGCTGCTGCCTTTACCGCCAACATCCTCTTTCTCTTATTCCATTATTGTTTATTGTTCCATAAGGACTTTTTTCCCATTGTCATTGCTCAGTTTTGGGTTCAACGCCCTTATTACTTACTATCCCAGCTGGTGTATACAGTAGAAATGGAGGGCACCCTTTTTTGTGTGTAGGTATTTAATCAATCTTAGCTTTGGTTTGTAAGTCCCATATCTTATATTCCTTATTTTGGTCAGCTGTGGGTTCATAATAAAAATTTAATTGCAAAATAGCTCGACAATAAGATATATTATTAAAAAAAATAATGCTTATTAATTTATTCACACAATAATATTAAATCATAAGTGTCGTCGAGTGAAATTTAAGTTACCGTAATGAATCTTTGCTATCAGCCCCACATTGTTAGTGTTACACCAGCGTGTCCGACACTGCTGCTCACGAGTAAACTTCGTTTATTCGGGCAGCTGTCTTACCTGGCAAAATTATTAATAATAAAAGGTCAGGGACTGATTTTCAAACATACATCTAATTTCAAGTATTGCATTGTTGTAAGGGAGGGTATGAGAGTCGGATGACCTGGCCACAAGGTTCACACGTATAGTACAGTACGGCCAGGCTCCGGGTATAGTCAGTGTACTCCCAGTGCTTCCCCTATATCTATGCTTGCGTGTATCGTACAATGAATGTTTTTATAGCAGATTTAATGGCATAGAATATGTCCCAGGTAACAGTTATTGCCTTTTGGGATGAATTAAACGGAGGGGTGAGGAGATTGAACAAAGTGATAAGGAGAAAAGCTCTCTCTCTTGACCCTGTGTTTCCTTAGCTACCATAGTACAATAAATAACTTTATTTGTTAGTACTTTAGAAAACAGTAAATACAACTTGTAAACATGTATTGTGCCACATGTTCAAATTAAACAATAACATGAATGATATATTGACAACAAGAGTATTTTTACTCACGATATCATATATTACTGTCAACAGGTATTATGTACTGTATATGTTTATCAATACCTTAGATGAAATTTTCCAACGAAGTTAATTAGTGTTGTTTTTTCAGTGTAACCGAAGCTCTGAGTGTGAGTTCGTATCCCAGCTGGAGGACACCTACTATGACACACTACAAAGTCGCCGCTTCAGCGGACGCTACCTGGCCATCGCCACCAGTGGTCGCATCAAGCGTGCTCGCCGGGTCAGTGGCCCTTTGGGCAAGGAGAATTTTTTCCTCTTCCGGCGGATACAGCTGCAGGAAGCACAGCGCATCATTGAGCGGTACCACGAGCGACTGGTGGGTCAGCCGCCTCAGCGCTGTGATGGTTATAATGAGTACAACAAGACAACGGCGGGTAGTGCTAGTGAGAGAGGTCAAGGAGAAGCTACTGTGGTGACACTGGCACCAACCGTGGTGCCAATGGGTCGCACTACCACCACTACCACAACTTCTTCCCCACCTGCCAGTAGACGTTGCCGCATTGTGAAAGGTAAAAAAAGGTGCAAGTGGTGCAGGATTGTTAAAGGGAAAAAGAAGTGCAGAAAGAGGCCAAAGAAGTGTAAGAATAAAAAATGTCGCAAAAGAAAAAAACAAAGGAAAAGTAAACGTAGAAGGAAACACGGGAGAGAAAAAGACAGCCATGAAGTAAACACAAATAACACAGTAGATACAGAGGCACCACGCAGACGTAAAGTGTCGGTGTCAGCAGGGACGGGGAAGGCACAGCCGAGGCAGCGTCATGAGGCGGATGGCAAACGAAAACACACACAGTACACATCCATCACTGTGGCTCCCCAAACCAGACGTCCCCATGGCAGGCGTATCCGTCACCAGCGCCGCTTGCCCACATCGCCTTCACTGCCCATGGCCACCCCTACGCCCTCACGTGCTGCCTCTAGGGTGCCTAGAGGCCCTCTGCGGCCCACACCCATGACGGTGACACCACAATCACAGCAGCCCTTTCCCCCGGCGCCCTCGTCCGCCCGCCCGTACCGTGTCCGCCATGCCCATGATGCGCGGCGGCGACGGCGGTGGCCACGGGGGCACCTCAACCCTCCCACCTCAGCTGATGCTTAGTGTATATACTTCAGCCATACCATTTTTCATGTATATAATCGTAAATAATATCTGTAAATACATAGAATTCCGACGTATGAACAAGGTCCAAAAGAAGGGGACTTAATTTATTTGATCTTATTTATTGTTCAATGTCAAATTGTTGCCCCCGGAATCAAAGGTCGACCACAATGTATGCGCTTGTCAATCTTAGTCATGTGAGAGGACTGGAGGGAGTGGGAGGTGCTCGTCAAGTGCAGGTTGTCCCGGCAGCCGAGAGAATGGTGCTATACCTGATCCTACCGCGTGCCATACACTCGCCATATTGCAACTCTTAGTAGAACATTGGAAAAATAAGCATTTGTAATGCAACATATCAGTGTCCTAGGTCAGTTACTTTTGACTTTCATGTGAACTAACATGTTGGTTTGGAAAGAAATGTGTGCCATATTAGAAACTATCTGTGCATTAGTATTGGGAACATGTATGGGCCCACACCAAGTCATCAGACTAGGTGTTCCTGCTACAGGACTTAATTCGTATCCCAGAACTTATGAGAACAAATATCTTATGGATGTCTTAATAACAGGACACAACTGTATATCCATTTGTAATGGAGGTTATTTAGTCAACATGTTAAGAAGTATTGGTCGTCAATCGGTGCTGCAGATTATTCTTCACCCTGGCTCTTCAGGGTGTGGAGGATCAAACAAGTTCCTCTTTCACACCAACTACACACCTCACCCATGTCGACAACTGGAGTTGATAGTGGCAGGCAAGAATGATGGACAGCCCAGAGGTAGTACCACATGGTCGCTGCCAGGCGCCTGCAGGACCCCACACCTGCTGTGCTCCAACCAGCCATATCCTGGCCGCCATCATCTATCACAACACCAGCCGCACCTGTCACCGGAAGGACAAACTGCAGCCCCGACTAGACCAAGCCTCCTTGTATTTTCTGTTGCTCACAACACACCAATGCAGGGTAGCTATCATGCTACTCTTGTCCAGGTTGTGTGGTCTGGAGGCTATTTTGCTCACTTGGCATTTGTACCACGCCTGATGAGGGCGCTCACACCAGGCACGTGGCACCCCGGACTCGCCTCACCCGGGGACCAAGTGTGGCCAACAGTGAAGGGCAGAGATGAATCATTCAACATGCCAATGATCCATGGTGATGGCAGAGGGTTGGTCACATGAACCTTTGTCTGGGTGCAGCCCAGACTCTCACCACCGCCCACACGCCCACACGGCTGCACGGGTGCTGGTGTCGTCGCTCACAGGCACAGCGAAGCCAACACAGAGGCTTGCTGGTGCCTGTATCCACCCAGGCTGGCCCTCCTCCAGTCTAGTCACACATGTCTCCTGAGGGTCAGCCTGGACCAGCCTGAACGTCAGCTGCTTCCCCGCTCCATTGCCTCCTGCTACACTCGACCTGCTCTTATGCTCATATTACCTAATACAGTCACAGTACTCAATGTAACACCTTGGTCAGTAACATGTAGATCTAAACTACCATATTACACTTGCTGAACTTCCTCAGACTATATCAACCACGATAGAAAACACAGCAGATCTTTTCAACTTCAAACAAAACACAAACGTTCCTCTTCTATTGAGAGAGAGATAAATACTTTATATAATCATACTAATACACCAACTATGTCCTTAATGAGCAGTGGTGAGGGCCTTGTGACCCCCACGATGAGGTGACCTCCCGGTGCAGTGGCCTCCATCACTAACACACGTAACAACTCATTAAAGCATTACAATCTAGAGGATACGTCTTCACCAGTGAATATGACCTTCAATTTTGTTGTCTTCCCACAGAGCCAAATTTTAAGTCCTTGCCCCTTGAGTACACCAAAGCCATCAGTAGTTCCAACTGTGTTTATTGAAACCTTCTAATGTCTCATGACCCTAATAAGCATCTGCCTCAGTCATAGTGCAATCATTAGTTTAGCTTTTATTTATAATATTATACTCGACATGAATCACCACGAATCTAACCTTATTTCCCTGAAGTCCTGGCTTCCCAATTCAATGTTCTCAAATTTCAGTACCCCTTCTGTTGGGTTTTAAATTCTAGCTATACCGTACATACCATGTTAAATGAAACACAGCTGTGTTCCTTTCTTCCTTGTCCATATGTGGCTTAAATATCCTCATGTGGGTGGGATCTTCATATCTGATGTTATACGCTATTGCAGTCATTCTCAGTAAGACTTGAAAACATGGCCACCACAATACCAACATTTACCTTAATAAATAATGTCGATGTGGACCAATGTGTGGGCGTCTCGCGTCGGCAACCCCAGCAGTGAGAGCCGGGCAGTGGAGCGGGGTATGCTTGCAGCTTCGCAATTTCCTCATACTGTATTACTGTAGTATTATTATACAGTACTGTATCACAATAACATTGTCCTCTCTCACCAGCTCAATATCAAATTAGTCTAGTTTTCGTTGTTATAGTCTAGCTAGTTGACAACATCCAAAATTGTAATGTTAGGATATTTATTGAAGAAGATTTTCGCATAATTATATGAATGTTAGATATACTGTAAAGCAAACTGAGCAGCTGACAAGAGGTCATGAGACTGAATGAGTAGTCAATTAATGCGATGACAATTGCACGTTCTTAATACCCAAGAAAATGTTGGTTTAAAAAATCTTATTCACACTGCTCATAAGTAAGAAGAGTTCTTTCTTTTACAATTGTTGAGTCTCACACTGCACCACTAATTAATGAGCATTTTTCGGTGTATGAAGGTGTAAAAAAACTCGTGTTTGTTTACCAGGAGAAATTTGTTTATAGATGTGGAAGGAACGTTTGTTCACAAACAAGATGAAATAAATAAATAAATAAATAAATAAATAAATAAATAAATAAATAAATATATATATATATACTGTATATATATATATATATATATATATATATATATATATATATATATATATATATATATATATATATATATATATATATATTATATATATATGTATATCACAAACACACATAAATACATACATTATATACACCATATTACATTAATACATTATTTTTCTTTTCCATGTTTGAGAAGCAAAAATTGGTGTGCAGTATGGATGTTGTTGAGGCATTAACTAACAGCAGAACAGTTGGCGTTCTTATACTTGATTTTACTTGTTTCTGTGCATGTAGATATGTCAATGATAACGGTAAATAAAAGGTATTTTTATCATAGCAATTATTGTCCTTTTTCCTACTCATATAATATAAACCATCAACCACATTCAAGAACCTCTTCACATAATGAGAGTTATCATTAAACACTGAAGATTCACAGTTGCCAAGTGATGAGTTAAATGACATCAGGAATACCACCAAGGGAATGGATAAAAGGGAACTTTTGCATGTGAGGATAATTATAAAAAAAATGCAAATTAGGTGGTTAGGACATGTACTGAAGATCTGCCTGCAATACGTAGTGAGGAGAGCAGTAGAGGTAGAAGTGGCTGAAGAATAAAAAGGAGAGCAGTGACTGAGAAAGTTGGGAGCGGAAGCACAACCCTAGCAGCCAACCCAACAATAAAGGGAATTATAAGGTACTGTACTTGGGAGAAAAAAGAGGAAAAGAAAATCTCACGTTAGTGATGAATTCTATTTACCTGTGATAGACAATTCCCTGATGACTTGCCCCGCACCCCCTGTATGCTATGTAGTGTTTCTTTAGAAAAAAATGGCGCTTTCGGTGCTATTATTTTTAGTCTCTTGCTAAGATTGCATGTGGTTTTACTCTCCTTGATGCTGGACCTATACCCAACCTCTTCCGTCTTTTGTGTATCAATGTTTTTATCTGTAAAATGTCCATTTATGTATCTAATTATCTATATCTATTTATCGTTAATACAGTACAGTAATTATCTCTAATATACACAAAAATCTACCTTGGTTGTGACGGCGAAGGTGGTTGAAGCTTGCATCTGATTGGTTATTTTTTCAGTTCGTATTATACGGTAAGTCACTGTGATTGGTTCCTTAAGGTGTAAGTGGTTATAAGGTTGTGTGTGATTGGCCAATTCTCATCTGGTCACAGGAAAGATACATTGCTTGGCGGAGTATCTGAGTCTGAGGACGCCATGGCAGGTGTGACTGTCTGCTGCTTTATGGACGCTTTTTGGGGGGGTTAAAAGGTAAGTTAGAAAATATGTCAGCGTTTTGAAGTTAATATATGTACGCATGTATAGTTTTTAGTGTATTATAAAGCCAAACACACGGGGTTGTTTGTAATGATCCTTAAGGCTTAAAAGACGTATTTGTGTAGAAGGTAAATAACTTATTAACTCGAGAATATCCTCAAATTGATGAAAGAATTGTCATATTTATACATTTGTTGTGGTAGTGATAGGTAATACTCCAGATAAGATGTGCACCTTAACTACCTATTGTATTAAATTTCAGCATAGAACATAAATTCTTGGGATAAAGATTCGTTTTAACGTCCCCTTCGATTTTTATGGGAAAATTTATTTTTCTGGTGTATTTTGGTGTGCTTTGTTTAAATCTAACCTCCATTTTCTTTGGAAAATCCCCTTTTAAGAGAAATTGTCAGACATAGAACTAACCAACCAAAGAAACCTACCTAACCTTGCTTAACTTCCTAGCCGGAGGGCTTCGCTCCCTGGACCTTTCCACCTTATTAAACAGAAAATACTTATTTTGATATCTGGTACCAATGAATGTTGAAGTGTCATGTTGTAATTTTACGTTTTTAGTGGACGTGAGAGTAACCTCGGACAGCAGGTCGATTGTAAACAAACAGACAGCATGAGACAACTTGGCAGATTTTATTTATGGTAAATAATTTAACTTTCGATATTACCTCCAAACAATTGACTATCTAAGAATGTTGAAAGGTAACGTAACCCATATCTAAAGTCCAAATAGCAAAATATTAACTTTCTATAGAAACAGGCGGGGACGTTAAAATGAATCTTGACCATTCATTTTTATCATGACAACGACAATGGTCAATTTATAGTACAAGACATAATTGGATTTTTTGTTGTTGCCCGTGATAAGTATTGACAAAAACAAGACAATTTTCATCTATGATACTTTTGGTGCATTTTACCCATAACCAAGATATCGGGAGTTGAAAATCATAAAACTAGACAAATTCTAAGGTTTGGCAAGAAATTAATTTTTTTTATAATCTCAGTTGCAGGTAGTTTGCGAAGGAACTATTTTAGAAACAATGTGTCTTAAAATTGTCTAAACTATTATTTGCAAAGAAAAAATCCTGAGATTAGGTTGGTGGCAACAAGAGTGCAATAATAGCTTTCGTTCTGTTGTAGTTTCTGAGTTTAAACTCCTAATGTGGGTAAAATGCACCAAAAGTGTCATAGATGAAATTCGTCTTGTTTTTGTCTGAACTTATCACTAGAAAAAAAATACTATTGAATTATGTCCTCTACTATAAATTAACCATGCCATTAAGTAAATAAAAATTTGCATAATACTGTTTTGATGAATTTTATAATTTTTGTTTTCTGTAAACATCAAACACTACCCTGGCGGCTGGATGATGCCCACTGGGAACATGCAGAGACAGCTTGCCTGGTACTTCTGTCTTCCACCTTCACTTCAAGTTTTAAATTAGGTACCCATTTACAGCTGGGTGAACTGGGAGTGCCTGGGTATCGAACTACCTACCCATGGAACAGGAGGTGAGGACTGTATCCACTTGATTTGCTACACTCCAAATTACAAAAGGTAAGAGAGAATGTTCTATGATGAAACGTACTGTAAATTAGTTAAGGCTCGTAGCTAATCTGGAGTAATACCCATAACCTCATTACTCGATGCTGATGACCTAACCTAACTTTGATGCTGGTGTACTTCGGGTCATTGTACTGATGCAGGTGTATTGAAGGTCATAGTACTGCTGGAGGTGTACTCATGGTCATAGTACAGTATAGTACTCTACTGCAGATCTTGGTTTGGGTTAATTTGTATTCTTTCTCAGCCAAAACAATTGTTCTGGAATTCATAAAACTGTAGATTGTTCAAAGTTCTCCACAGCACATTTCACTTCCTCAAAAGATTTAACCCCTTGAGTATGACCTAACCCCTAGAATATGATGATTTAACCTCTTGAGTATGACTTAATCTCCTGAATACAATGGTTTAACCTCTTGCTCATGATGATTTAATCTCTTGAATACAATGGCTTAACCCCATGAGTATGATGACCTAGCCCCTCAAGTATGATGATTTAATCGCCAGAGTATGATTACTCAAGTTGAGTATGACTTTATCTCCTGATTACATTGGCTTAACCTCTTGAGTATAACTTAATCTCTTGAATACAATGGCTTAACTCTGGGGTGGGCATTTATTTTGACTGGCGGGCCACTTCATGAATGGTGGTACACTTTGCGGGCCACGCACTTAATTTAGACGCAAATACATAATATTTGCACAAAATAAGCCTTGTATTTGTAAATATAGGATATTACTGTACTTTTATCCTTTTCGCCACTGATCGCCTTGTTAGCCCGTTTGGGCGGTCGTTCATGTCTCTGTTACGCAATGTTGGCAAATACTGGGCATGCACTGGCTCCCGAATGTATCTGAACCTGCTCCAGTGTTGGTCAAAACTGGTCTTGGAAGAGCTCACTCCAAGAGTTCACAACTCTTACTCCAAAAAAGTTTGCCCTCACAGTTTTTTGGACTTGTGGCTTCTTCAACCTTAAGCAGTGACCCCCTGTGGGAAGGGCATCCGTCAGCCCCTGTATGGACACTTGACTGAGTAATGCCCTTCGAAATGTTTATACACCTCAATTAGGTCACCCCTTGCCTGTTTGAAGTATAAACTAGGCAGTTGCAGGCAAGGAAAATATAAAGTAACATACTGTACAAAGCAATTTTGGGTAGATAACTACAACACTTAGCTTGTCTCATTTATTATTAATATGGATGCTAATATTAATACTACTACTAGTAATAATTTACAGTTAAAGGTGCAGTATAATTAGGTCGGGTCAACAAGTGATGAGCTAGTCTTGCTACTATGGGTGCCCAACTCCCACTATGTAATGAGAGAGTATTTGTCTATGGGAGATGAGATGGGTAGTTTAGACTCGAGAAGAGACGAGTAGTTTACTATTTTTTTCTCTTCACCACTGATCAGCTCGTTAGCTGTTTGGCCAGTTGGTCACATCTCTGTTACACACTGTTGGCAAGTACTGGGCATGCACTAGCTCCTGAATGTATCTGAACCTGCTCCAATGATGGTCAAGTTTGGTCTTGAAACAGCTCACACTCGGTGCTGTCACAACACTCTCTAGCAGGTTATTCCAAGAGTTCACAATTCTCACTCCCCAAAAGTTTGCTCTTACAGTTTTTTGGACTTATGACTTCTTCAACTTTAACCTGTGACCCCTTGTTGGGCAGGTGTCTTCCAGCTCCAGGTATGGACACTCAACTGAGTAGTGCCCTCTGATGTTTATACACCTCAACTAGGTCACCCCTTGTCTGTCTGTAGTATAAGCTAGGCAGTTGCAGGCGCTTAATATCTCTGGATAACTGAGGTGCTGAAGTGCAGGCACCATTCTGGTGGCTCCTTTGGACATTTTCAATCCATTGACAGTCCCAAGCAAATTTGGGGGGCCAGACGGGGTGACAGTACTCCAGGCGGGGATCCACCACACCTTTGAAGATCATTACGAGGGACCATCTAGATATCTGAACAAATTTCTTATAAGACCTAATAGTTTAGTTGTTTGATTTGTCTTCTCACAATGGCCCTAGAACTTCAGTTTATTGTCTATAGACACACCCAGGTTCTTTTCGCATTTAGTCTTTATTAATGAAGTTTCTTC